AGCGGGGCTCGCCCCCTCCCGCACAGCGGGGCAGGCACCGCCCGGCCTCCCCGGCCCCTCTCGGTAACCTCGGACGGGCAGAACCGTTCCGGCCGCCTTCATCTCTGACCCCGGAGCTCCACCGTCGTCGGGGTGTCACAAGGTTTTGCAAAGTCACCGGTGGGCCAGGAACGGGGATCAGCTGCAGAGAGGGCAGCGAGGTCGGAGACAGCTGCACAGAGACGGTTCCAGCACAGCAGGAGTTGGAGCTGGCGGCCTCCGTTTGCACCGACATGAACTGGCTCAGGCTGTGGGATGCAGGAGTTCGGACACTCTTTGGCCCGTTCTTAACACTGACCAAATCGGTTTTAGTAGCCTTTTGGGCACAGCGATTTAATTCTTACAAGTATTCATTGCTGAAACGCAGCTCCACTTCTCACGGTTATGTTTCTCTTCCCATTTTTCTGCGCCCCTTGTGAGGAGATGCACTGGGGCTGCGGCTGGACCGGTGATGCCGTCCAGGTTAGGATGAAGCCCCAGGTGGAAGTACGGCTGAAGTTATTGGAAGGCACGAGATGGCAGAAAGGGTTAAGGAGAAAGTGGTGGAGAAAGTTTGGACTCGGTGTGGATCCCTAACAGCTGCTGGCACCCTGCCCGGTGTTCTGGCTGCTTTATGGGCCAAGAGACAAAGCGGCTGCGGGAGGAAGGTGGGAAGAGTCATAAAGATGGGGCAGGAGGTACGAGGGTTGGCAGGGCTGCTTCAGAAAGCTTGTTCCTCTCTGTCTTTTGAGGTTATGAGATTTACTCACTTAGGAGAGCTCTGGTAGACTGGACTATTGAATGAGGGAGGTTTGGGGGGGGTGGGTCTGCTTCAGAAGAGGTTGAGAGAAAGGATGCTGGTCCCTGAGGATGTTTGTTGTTTGGGTTTTTTTTTTTTTCCCCCTGGGTATTTGTCCCTTTGAAGGAGAGTGGGTCCTTTTCTTAAAAACTTGAGTCAAGGTGGAGGAGGCTGTGGTGGGGGCTGGGAGCAGCTCAGATGCTTTGGCAGGCTGTGGGTAACCAGAAAAGGATACAGTGCAGTACGTCAGGGCTGAGAAGAACTGGCAGAGCTGCGTGGGGGGCAACACTTCCTGACCACGTGCTGGGCTTCAGCATCTTCCTGTTAACAAGCTGCTGCAGAAAGAATAACTGAGGTGGTTTTGGTTATTTGCTACCACACCAACTGGAGCTGCATCCTGGGATGTCAGCTGGCCTTGGCTAACCCTTCCCCTCACATGGAGCTGATGCTGAACAGCTGAGCCCCTGAAGATTGAGCTGAAGATGATGTGAATGCCTTTTCTAGCAAGTTTCCGTTGTATGGAGGGAGCGAGGGAATTCATTTTAATATGCATAGGACCCTGTTGTTGTACTGACCTTTTTATAAAAGAGGAAATATCTGTCCCCTATTGCTCTAGGAGAGATGTCAAAGATCCCCCCCGGCAGAGTTTATTTCGGACGGCTGTTGTGCTGGGTCACTGGTCTCATGTTAAACTTGGTAAAGTCCGTGCTACTGATTTATGAACTGGCAGATTGCAATGTGGCTTAGTCTATAAATAGCCAGGGTGTGTGTGGGGGAAGGATATTAATGCTGAGCATGGCCCCATGCCAGTCCACTGACTGTATCTCTAGCTGCAAGACATAGCAGGGAGGGTTTTAGGCAGCTTTTAGGGACATGGTGGTGGGGAAGAATATACTTTTACATGGTGAAATATATCTCTGACTGCTTCATGTCATAGGTACGTTTGGGATGGGATGTGACACAAACAAGTGGAAAACTATGGCCTGCTGGGAGCTGGCTGGTTCAGGCCAACTGTCTGCTCCCTCACCCTCCTGCTCTCCTCAGCCTCCCTGGACCAGCAGCTGCTGGGGGTGAGGATCTGTGAGCTTCGAGGCTTTTCTCCTCTGCATGACTACTTGGGCCTTGCGAGGTGGATTAGAAAAGGTCCTTGCTTGGCTTATCTTTCCTTTGGGGCAGACAATCCATCTCTGCTTTGCTCAGAAGTTGTGAAGGAAGAGCAGCCTGGAGATGTTGACCACAGCCTTCTGCCTGTTTCTGGTGCAGTGCTGCACGGGAGCCCTTTAGCGTGAAAAGCTCCTTTTATCCACCCCCACTGGTGTTTTTTCTCAGGTGAGAGGGTCAGTTGTGCTGGGACCATGGATGCCCTGGCCTCAGGCTGGGTGAGCACCTGTGGTGCAGAGGAGGCTGCAGCAGCTGGAGGTGACGCAGCTATCAGAGGGGCAGGCCACGGCCTGTTCACTGTTCTGGGTTGCAGCCCTTCCCTGGATGGGGCTGGGGAAAGCACACAGCGCCACAGTCCCCCAACACGCCCCGCCGCCATGTTGGGCGCCGTCCCCTTCCTCCAGCAGGGGGTGGTGCCGGGCGCGGAACACCGCCCCTCGTGGCGGGCTGCCTGTCCCTTTAAGAACGCCGGAGGTGGCCTGTCCGTCAGGGCCCGCTGCGCTCTCCTATTGGCTGCCGCGCTCTGTGCCGCACAGAAGGGACCGCCCTGATCTATAACGGGGTTTACCAGCACCTTCTCAAGGGCGCTGCTCTGCGGTTCAACCATACTACGGCGTCAGGCTTGCCCCGCCTTTCGCGCCTGGCAGCGCGGGTAGCGTCGCCCTATTGGCTAACGGGGAAATCCATTAGGTCTCGTCCCACCCCGACAGCGGGAGTGCCATCGCCTATTGATTCTGCTAGGTGTCGGTCACTCTTGCTGCTCCGCGGAGCCAGGCTGTATGGTTGGTAGGCTGAGCTGACTCTCAGCTGTTCTCCCGCCTCTTTTCCTTCTGTGAGCCAATTAACATCCGAGCGAAGGCGACCGCCGTTCTCTGATTGGCTGATCCGCCTACCGTTGGGGTAGGCTGCGCGCCGGATATATCTAGCCGGCGGCAGAGCACGCCGTTGCGTGAGGTGTTTCTCGTCCGCCGGGCAGGCC